GGAGTTCGTGGGGGACTGCATGAGCGAGAAAGAGAGGGCAGTAGGGTTTCGACTGAGAAGAAGAGAGCGCTGTGTTTTATTCATCATTTCGTGTATCTCGACCGTTGAAAGTCGATCAGACGGCGAAATGCGAGTATGCTCCGAGATGGGCTGAGACGGGCCGAATCACTGATGGGCTAAATGCGAAATTGCTTCGCTCTTTACTGTCTAATAACGATTTATTAATTATTTTTTTATTATCAAGTACAAAGATAAAGCAGCATGTGAATCAAACTAAAAATATCTTTTATAATCTAAAACTGTTGGATGCTGGGCGCAGCCACGGCTGCTGCTAGCCTGCTGCCGTTTGCCGAGAGCAGGGAGCGCGTGGGACCAGGAGGGGGAGCTGGGAGCGTGCAGGATCGGAAGAGGGAGCCGTCGCGGCACCGCCCCGACCAGCACCACCTTGGATTGGAGCGCCGCCGTCGAGCGCCCTTGGCTGCATCGAGGTGGATCGAGGCCGGGGCTGGGCACTCGCCATGACTCCACCACTCCGGCGCCTTCTTTGCCATCTCTGAATCGACAATGAAGGAGCTGCCGCCTTAGGGACGCCCGCCGGCTGGATCCGCTGCTCCGAGGACTAGATTCGCCGAGCCCCAGGAAGAATAGAGCTCCGCCATAGTCGCATGGGGTGGGATGGGGCGGATTGGAATCAGGAGGGAGAGACCGGAGAGAGAGTGGAGCGCGATGAAAGAGGAAAAAGCTAGAGGCTGCTTGCGGGAGATGAAAGAAGAGGTGGCGGCGGCTGCGTTTAGGATTTGGGAAAGGACCTAGGGTTTGTCACGAGCGAGCTAGATAGAGGTGGGGCACACGAGCTCAGCGTGGGCCCATTTTTTTAGCGACAGACAGATTGACGGTACACTTGGCTTTAGCGACAGACGGTTTAACGCTAAATATGAATACCTATAGCGACAGACACTAAATCGCTAAATGAGTATTTAGCGTCAGATGGTCTCTGAGTTATCTTTAGCGTTAGATCATCCATCGCCAAATATAATTTTTAGCGTCAGATGTCTGACGGTGAAGCGGTGTTGTGGTGTAGTGATTTCACATGAAACAATATATGTTCTCTATTGCCTATACAAAAAGTTTTGAAGTCAAACCCCAATTCGACCATCACTTTGACTCCAAACTTACCGAATCTTTTTCAACGCTACGATTCTTCTTCTAAGATACTTCGGTTTGTAAACATCGTGCATGACAGATTGTGCGAACCCTTCTCAATTTTTTACCACAGCCTCCACGTATGATATCATGAGATCTTGACAAATCTCATGATTTTCAGACTTCGTTTGCTTTTTTTAGAATTTAAAAACCATTCGGCCACACGTTCGTGGTCGTGTTTTCTAAACAAGATGTTCGAAATTTCTTTTCATTTCCTGGATAAGGCCTCACACTGGACTCAATAACATGAATATCATTTTTCTACTCATTTTATTCTATTATTTGAATTACTTGCTGTTCAAATTTGACTTATACAAAAAAATTCTTGAAATGCAATAAAATAATTAAATATTACCAAATCTTAACATGAAGTACCACATGTTGTATGTAGAGAGTAGAAAAAGTTTGAAGGCCAGAAGAGAAAAAAACTTAATTCTTTGTCGAGTGCAAAAAAAAATACTCGGCAAACTTATTTCTTTGCCGAGCGCTGCAAAAAAACACTCGGCAAACTTATTTCTTTGCCGAGTGCCACTAACGGACACTCGGCAAACTCCTAATGGCCGACACACTAACGGACGGATGTCTACGTGGCGGTTTTTTGCCGAGTGTCTCTGTTTTGCCGAGTGTTTTTACTTAGTTTGCCGAGAGTTTTTTTTAACACTCGGCAAAGAGCTTGTTTGCCGAGTGTGTTTTTTTGCTGCACTCGGCAAAGAGCTTGTTTGCCAAGTGTCCGATATAATACACTCGGCAAATATGTTTGCACTCGACAAATCTGTTGTTTCCGGTAGTGCATCTCCTATGATCCTATCTCTCTCCCTCTGAGCAAATTGTTTTCTTTCTTTGATTTGATTCTCCATCGTTTAGTCTTCCAGCAGATCGAGCAGATCATATAGCTTCAAGATGATCCGGCGGTTTGTGAATCTGGTGGCGCGAAAGCCGGGCAGCGAAAACGGCGCGTACTCGCTGCATCGGCTGGACGTCGCCAAGCATCTCTTCTACCCGTCCACAGCCAAAGCAGAAGCAGCAAACGCGAAAGGGCAGAGCAGTAGCGGCGGCGGCGATAATAAGCAGCCGGAAATCGGCAGTGCTGCGCCGGCTGCCGAGGCCGATCGTGCAATTCCAACAGGTCCCTCAAACTCCCACATGGCGGCCTTTGGATGACATGTTTGTGCTCCTAAGCCCCGGCGGCGGCGCGGCGGGCGACAGGATCCTCCACCTCCACGCCAGCAAGGAGAGCCACGGCGACGTCTACGACGCCGACTCGGGTTCCGTCATCAGCACCATGCCCAGCCCCACCCTCGACGGTCCCAATGCAACAGAGTCGGAGTACAACCCATCACCTTCTCCATCACCACCGGAAGAACAACCGACCGCGACGGGGAAGAGAAGCAGGACAGCCGCCGCCTCTACGTGATGACCGACAGCGGCGGCCAGAGCTTCCAGTGCCTGGACCTCAGCCAGCACCCTCACAGGTGGCAGCCTCTCCCATCCGCAGCCTTCGCAGTGGCCGCCGCCGCGCCCGCCGCGGCTTCTTGCATCACGTCCTTCACGACCGTCGACGGCGGCTCTGGCTCCACCATCTGCGTGTCGACGGTGGCCAAGGGCACGTACTGCTTCGACACGAGGACCAACGAGTGGCAGCCAAGGTTTTCATTATCGGAAATACAAATTTATCGGAGGTCATGGATAAATAGAATAAGCAAGATATATTAGAAATATCGGACCAAATTTAAAAAAAAATTCAAATTGTTTTGAAAAAAAAATCGTAGAATTTGACTTGAAACTATTCCCTTCTATTAAACATCACTCGTTCACAGATAAAAACAAGAATAAAACATTATAGTGTGGGACCGTCGCACGGCTGAATTTGGGTTGTCTGTGTGGGAGCAGGAAAGAAGGGAAAATTTTGGCCGATGTCAAATTTTATCGGACCCTATGGATAGAATGGAAATTTCGGAAATTTCCGTGAATTCCGGCCGATAAAAAAAACCTTGGTGGCAGCACGCCGGCGACTGGGTGCTGCCCTTCGACAGGTGCGCCCAGTACGTCCCCGAGCTCGACGCCTGGCTCGGCTTCAGTAGCCGCGCCGACAACGACACCGGCCACGACCACCAGCTCTGCGCCTCCTCGGACCTCGCCGCCGCCATGGACGCTCGCCGAGCGCCGATCCTGGATCACGTGTGGGAGGACCTCGCCCTGCCTAGGGACCAGGAGAAGATGAAGCTAAGCCCGAGCTTTGGCGAGTTCGAGCGCACGGTGGAGGAAGGGGGTTGACGGATGAGCGGCCACGATGCTTCGGGCACTGGACGGATAAGCATATGAGAGCGGGAGCTGGGCGGATAAGCAAATGAGGGAGTGGCGATTTTTATTTTTTGTTTCTGAGATGAGAGAGATGGGGCCCGCTCCTGCGGAGCCACGTCCGGACTGGAGTCACGGACGGACGTCCGTGTTGGATCATTATCGATTTTTTTAACATGGTTGAAGGTCTATAGGATTGACCAGCAATTATAGGTTCAATTTTCAGTTCGTTTTGCACAAGTGCATCCGAGGGGATTCGACCCCATGACGTACCACCACACATCACAAACGCTTGTGACTACATATACGGTGATATCCATTTGTACTAATACGTACAAATGTTATATAACTAATATTTCAACTCGTAATTGATTTAAATGGAAAAAAATTTAACTATAAAGTTCTAGATCTCGTCGAAAACTACAATTTTGATATAGAGTGTGTCTCCATTCAAGGTCATTTGAAAAATTCAAAAAATTTGAAATTCAAAATCTGAGAACTTAATATAAATATCTGGCCCCTAAATGATTTCGAATAAAAATTTTACCAACTATAAAGTTTTAGATCTCGTCGAGCTCTACAATTTTAAATAAATTTTGCCTTCAACCGACTTCTTTTGAAAAATTATGAGTTTATTTGTACTCCAACTGCAGCCATTTCAGAGGGGAAGTCAACCGCAAACCCATAGAAATCACCCATTTTTAGCTCGGGAAATCATTATTTTAGGGTGGTTCTCCTATGGCAGCCGTCTCTAAAAATAGATATATTTTAGAAACTGTTTGCTTAACAGAACACTCCCTTAAAAATGTATTTTCAGTTACGGTGCTCATGGTGCTAGTTAAAATTGCTTGCTAGCGTCTGTAAAAGCCATTTCTGCAGTAGTGCACGGCGGAGAAAACGTGTGCAAAGATTTTGAAAGAGGTATATATAGTTAGACCTAATGCAAGAACTTTTTTTATACTTAATGCAAGAATATTGTACATATATATAATAATGTTGCCCATCAAATGGTAGATGAAGATGACTAGAGGTAGGTGCAGATTTAACTTATTAGCCCATGCTGTATGGATGTTGACACTCAGAAAGAAAGTCTTTGTTCGTAACAGGTGTCATCCTAAGAAGTTGAAAATGGTGACACTTTATCCCTTAGCTTAGCTTGTTTTTTCGTGAGAAACCAATTTAAGAAATAATTTGGTGACGAACCCTTCCTACCTGAGCTGGTCGGTCTCCCATCTTGGTGACGACACTTTTGACAAATGCAAGAGAATATATATTAGTTACGGTAGTTATGCTACCATGACCAACTTCTGACGAACCAACGCAGACACCTCACAAGTCACAACCACATTCCACTCATGCGTCATGCACCCAGTCCTCTTTTTTTTATCACTATGTGTATATATAAACACGAGCGAGCACATCTGCAACGACGCATCGCATCAGCCAGCAAAGTAGAGCTCTGTCGTGCACGGAAGCAGAGAACGAGAGAGATACGGTCGATGGGCATGACGACGACGACGAGGCTAATGCTCACCTTGGCCGCCGCGGTGGCGATGCTGCTGCTGGCCTCGCCGGCGCCGGTGTCCGGGCAGCCCGGCATCGTCGTCGCGGGCGCGGTGTCGTGCACGGCGTCGCTGGTCACCAGCTTCACGCCGTGCCTCAACTTCATCACCAACGGCAGCGCCTCCCCGACCGACGACTGCTGCCGGTCCCTGGGCGCGCTGACCAAGGCGAGCGCCGGCTGCGCCTGCCTCATCCTCACCGGCAGCGTCCCTCTCGGCGTGCCCGTCAACCGGACGCTCGCCGTCACGCTCCCCAGGGCGTGCAACTCCACCTCTCTCCAGCTGCAATGCCGAGGTGATCCATCGAGCTGAGCATTCACTGACTAGCTAGTATAGCACTATAGCTAGCGTCCATTGTAACATTGCTAAAGTATCAATCCTGTGATGATCTTGCTTGCAGACGCGTCGTCAGCTCAGAGCCCAGCTCCAGGCCCCATCGCAGATGCGCCTGCGCCGTCCATGTTCATGGCCCCGTTGCGTAAGAACCTAGCTACCTTGTCAGAACATGGTTAGAGTTTTTTGTGTGTGTGGAAATGTTACTGATGAACGCCATGGATGGTGGTTTCCTTCAAACTGGGCAGCACCAGCGACGGCGGCAGCGCCGGAGCCTGAAGCACCGGCGACAGCTCCACCTGTGGAACCCACGGCCACGGCGACGCCACCGATCAGCCAGGTACAGACGAAGCCGACGGTTGTGCCCAGCGCCGCCTGGAGAGCAAGCTCGGACGTGCCAGCGACGGCTGGTTTTGCACTGCTGCTTGTAGTTGGAGCTGCGCTGATGGCCTGATGTGTGAACGAATGTTTATGTGATCCGTCCTTAGCAGTGGTTAGCTAAATAACGGAGCACTGGAGTGTCTTGGTGAATATTTTATTAGCTGAGTATGTATTATTTGTTTGTTACTAAATTGATGTTCTGAATTGGCAGTACCTGTATTTTACCAGATTTCTTTCACGTTGTTTGAGCCTTTGATCATCAGCACTTGAGCAGAATAAAGTACTGTTACGGTGGAACATATATATTTTGTATTGCCTTCACCAATAAATATTTTTGGAAAAAAAACATACTGTAATGTTGGGGCCACGGCCGCTAAAAAAAACTCTACTGCGCTCCGCCTCCACCGCACCGCCCACCTTCCATACTCCGCCTCCACCGCGTCGCCCGCCATGGCCACCTCCACCGAGCCGGCAAGCCTTCACGACAGATGCTCTAGCAACAGCAAGCAGCCAAGCAGGCAAGGAGAAGAGCTTCGTGTGACGCCACCCGAGCTCCGCGCCGCGGCCGACCTCTACACCGGCGTCGAGCTCCGCAACGACTAGCCTCCATTCGTCCAAGCAGCAAGGTGACATTGCGCTGAAAGCACTTATTGCAAGCGTACGTTTTAATTGTTTCAGATATTTCAGAGATATGTTGCAATTGTTTTATATCAATGCTGCAAAAGTAGATCGGTATGTTGCACATGTTGCAATGGTTATACACGTATGTTTCAAGTATATGTTCTAAATATTTTATCTATTTCAGATATACATTGCAAGTGTTTTATTTGGATGTTGCAAATGTAGATCTGGATGTTGCATATATATGCAAGTGTTTTAAGTGTTTTCATTCGTATGTTATAAATATTTTATCTAGATGTTTGCATATGTTTGCAATGGTTACACGTGTGTTTTCAAGTTTTTCTGCTGTTTTGCAAGTGTTTCAAACTATGTTGCAAATGTTTCAGCTATTTTCGACGTATGATGTAAGTGTTTCATCTAGATGTTGTAAAAGTAGATCAGGTGTTGCACATGTTGCAATGAGACCCACCTGCCTCAGCCACCTGCTACAGCTGCTGAGGCGCCGCGCCAAGTGGGGGCATAGACGGTCCCAGCGTGCAGTTGGATGGCGCGGGTGACGTCCGGGCGGCACGACCCCGCGTGGGCTCGGAAACTGGGTGCTGACAATCCCGAAAAACTTATATATTTTGTATTGCCTTCACCAACAAATAATTTTAGAAAAACAAAAAAGACAGCTACTTAGTTCTCTACTACATGCACTCCCTACGGTTGGTCGGGCCGACTAATGAGAAGATCGGACAACACAGAGATATTATCTACGTGGTGGACAAGGCAAGGCAATATATACAAGAAACAAATCCGATTTGTTGTAATAACCGACTAGAATTTATCAATAAGCCGACAAGTAAATCAATCTGTAACCTAATCATGACCATATACAACTCTGTCCCCGGAATATATAAAGAGCCCTGTCCCCAGAATGTATAAGGAGAAATACAGCGCTCCCAATTGGCATCCACCTTAGATCACATCCGATAGAGCATAGTTGGGATCGCCTACTCGCATCTGACACCCAGCTCACGCCACACAAACGATAAAAGCATCATCATACACTTGACGTATGGCATCCCATGTCTGAACCAAAATATATCTGTCTCATGTGCTACCCCTCTAATCTACTTCATGTGATAATCGATCACAAGTCGGAGGCTAAAAATACTAACACTAATGAATGTTTATCAAATCATTATCCAGTAAAACACTCACTAAAATTGTTGAAAGATTATTGTTGTTGATAGGTTGCAAAAGAAAACGTTAAAATGCTTGAAAAACAAGGCAAAACCCTACATTGCTCTGTTAATTTAGGAAAACCAGGTTAAAACAACAATCTACCTAGCTAAACTAGGCTTCACAGCTAACCACACCCCGAACACAAGGGCGAAGATGTGGTCAACAACAACCCAGCCCCGGCACAAAGGTGAAATGAGGCATAACCACTTATAGCAACAGAAGACAAAGACACAATATTTAGACGATTCTAACGTACCATTAAGGTATCGCCGTGCAATGCACTAAATACAACAGCATCTTTGACCACGCCTTCAAAGAGGGATATGACGTCAGGGATGTCATCGCCGCCGGCCTTAGCATAAGCCAGGCAAGTCTTTGCCCAAAGTCCTATGCCAAGAAGGAATAACCTGGGACAACCCTATTTACTACCATGGTTCAATCCAGCCCAAAAAAATGGGATGGAACCAAACCATCCTTTATTGATGTAGGAAACAACAGTTATGCAGGATAAGGGAAAATCTTATCTCCTCAGTCTTTTACTAAGTAACAGAGCCTAACACAACTTTTGTGTTCAGTATTCACCAGCAGAGAAAGATATAGTACAATTATGACAAGATTCAGTGAATGTCTTCAAGATCAGATCAAGCAGCAGCCTTTGCCTTCTTAGGAGGTGGATTCCCTCCAGCAAGAACAACATAGGAGTAGAAGCAGATCATTGAAGCACTGGTAAAACAAGAGATTGTCAGAAGGGCAGTGCAGGATGATATGAGAAATGGCATATTGACATAACATAATTTAGACAAAGATGACAGTAGTGGATTTCCAAAAAAAGAAAAAATAAAGGAGTACCTCAGTGCGACATAGAAGCCCCACGGAAGCAGCTTCCTCGTCTGTAATGGAAGAGTAAGATTGATCAGAAAGCTAGTCCAAGTGGGGTCCATGATAAACAAATTACAGTCTGACTTACAGTGGTGTATGCCTGGCAATGCTTCCATGCTACCGCAGCGGCAATGCCTGCAAATAATGTGCATAGCATATTAATTATCATAGGTTTCCACATGCAGAACCTCAATTCAGCTTATGATAGCTGGTTAGCAAGACCAAATATTTACAGACACCATAATATTGCCTGCTCAGAAAGCATTTAAGGAGATCTATAGAATGTCAACTTGCATCGAAACGCTTAGCCCTGATTCAACAAAATCTGCTAAGATGATGTGTTGCAGAAAATAAACTACCTGCTTGCGCCAGTATGAACGGTAAACTGGACTTTCCACTCCTCCAGACCTTAAGGCTAAGTACAGCAAGGGCCAATATAGCAAGGCCAGGTGCAACACCAAAAGTAAGACTTGCAGGGCTCCTCCAAAACAGAAATCCAACAAGGCCCATGGAGAATAAAAATCCACCTGAACGAGAAAATTTGTATTTTTAGAATTTTTCCTAATATTTTAGAGACAATATTGAATGGATAGCATAGTATTGGAGAAATTCAGAAGCTCTCAAAAAGGTTGAGATATATAAATGTTTTCCGATTAGATCTAATGGTAAAATGTTTAGAAAGCTCCCTAAAGCTCTATTTAAAGATTTATTCAGGGGCGCGGAAAGAGAGAAGAAATAGAAACAAACCATGCTGCTATATCAGTAATACTGAAGCAATAAGCAACTTCTACTTGGTATTCAGTATTCACCCAAAAATTTGCTAGCTACAAAGCTGAAATCATACCAAAAGGTATCCCTAGGCAAAAGTCGTGTATCTTTGCACACTTCTGTTGAGGAGCAGCCTCCTGCACTGTATACTCATTAGCAGGTGGTACAATGGCTGGCTCTTCAGTTTCGTCACCTGTTTGCTCCGAGGTGGCTTCAGTTTCGCCACCTGTTTGCTCCGAGGTGGCAACAGAATCAACAGGAGTGGTATAGTCTGCCTTCATGCACATTGTAGTCCACGGCTGCAGGGCAATACAGCAATGACATGAGAGGAACTATTAACCAAAGAGATTAGGAGTAGAAGAGGAAGAACATAAGAGTAGGTAAACATGCCAGATCTTTTTGCTAGGGAAAATATGCTTCTACAAAAAGGAAGAGAACTAAGTTATTTGAATGCAAGCTACACATATTCATAATCACAAACATATATTCATGGAGTTCAACAAAGCCTGTTTTCATGACAAACACCCTTTCCGCTTTTATTATATGATGAAAGACACTGGCACCTAAAAAATTTGATAAAATTCCAAGAATGAAGTGCATGAGATCTAAAATTTGGCTTAGCTTCGAACTCATATAATCGATGTTAGCTTCACTAAGCGCCTAGCTTGAACCCAAAAGATCCAATATTCAAAGCCTAGGCTAAAACAGTGTTTTGCAAAGGGAATATTGGTTGAAGCAGCATCCAATAGCATGATCAAACAACATATTTGCAACATCTGTTTATAGCAAAAGCAGGGAAGCTTTAATAGGTATTAAGGCCACTCATGACAACAACAATTAAAAAACTCAGATTCTAAAACTTAACTTCAGTAATGTAATACACACCAGAAATACACTCTTAGGTATTAATCAAAGTTATTCAGCACCATAGGCACATGTTCATTTAAGAAACGGAGCAAACAAATGGTAAGGCCATAATGATAGACAAAACTGTGGTTCCCTGAACTCAGACCACCAAATAAGCATAGTTGTTCTTTTAGACTTTGGAATCAAGTTGAATAATATCATATATATATAAATATAACACAGATAAACAGAGCAAACAAATGATACATGACAGTTCTGAATACTCTTACTGCAGCACAGATAAGCTGAATAAAATAAAGAGCACACTTGTACAAAAATTGGTTGGACTCTATAGGATTTCAGACAAAACACATGCTACTAAAGTATTAAAGTAACTTGAACCACAAGCAATCATGTATAGTGGATGTTTAGATAACAGAGTATAGTGGAAACAATACAAAAATCAGATTTATAGAACAAAGACCACAAAACTGCACATGAATACAGCTAGCTCTGAACAAACAACACAGAAAAGATTCAGTAACTAAACCCACTATTATATCTGAGTAATTCTAGTGAGATCATTGAAAACATGAGACAAGGACACTACTGCATACAGGAACAGTTCTTATAGCAGTCCAGTTGATTGTATTGGCACAGGGAACAGAAGTTCTGACAAATCGACAAGTTGAACCTACAGACTCATTTTGAGTTGAAAGTTTGTCCTTCAATGTCCACAGGAAGTTGAAAGGTTTCTCTTTCTTGTGACTGGATCCACACAAAAAATTGGAAATAAAACTGAACCACTTTACAAGTTGACATGGTAAATCAGGATAAATCATAGCTGGGCGACCCCTCCTGCAAAAGACAAGGAATGTGTCCCCTGGGAACTTTCATAGCAACAAACATGGATTAACCATGCTCCACGGCATTGGCTTCATAGCTTCCAAAGCAGCCTTGGCAACAATGGGACTATGGGAGTGACAGTGCAGAACTGTGGCAATGTTGAAGCCATAAAAAAATAGCTGCACTTATAAAGAAACTGGGGTAACAGTTTCAAAATTTTATCTGTTTATTTGCCAGGGTTCATTAAGTGAAAATGTTGATAGAAAGTTCGAATTTTTATCTGGTGAATTTCCTACTTCGGATTTTTTAGCTACCTCTACTACTCGACCGGGTCTATTTCAGAAATGTTCATGATTCATTGCTTGTTCTGGGTTCCTAGTATCAGGAGGGATGAATTAAATAAACAAGGGTTTTGCAGCTGAGGGAGTCTAGGAGAATGCTTCAGGAAAATTTTCTATTACTACCTTAAGTCTCTAGAATGATCAAGGGGGCAGGAAGATCTAGTGTCAGTGAATACAAGGGAATGACTTGTTGAAAATTGGCATAGAATGGGATAGGAATAACACTAGTACAGGCTACATGAGTTCTAGAAAAAGAATCATAAATTTCAACTTTCTATCAATATTTTCACTTAACCAACCCCAGCAAATAAACAAATAAAATAAAATTTTGTAAGTGCAGCTATTTTTGATGGGTTTCAAGTTTCAACATTGCAAAAGCTCTGCACTGTCACTCCTGTTGTTGCCAAGGCAGCTTTAGAAGTAGAGATGTCAACAGGGAATTCACGTTGGGGAACGCTTTCCCATCCCCGTCCCCGCGGGGTAAGAGTAAGACTGGCCCCGTACTCGTCTCCGCGAACATTCCCCCGTCCCCGTCCCCGCGCGGGGGTCCCCGATCCCGTCTTGCCGCTGCTATCTACCGCGGCTCCGCCTCCATGCGCTCAAGCGGCTCCACCTCTTCCACAGCTACCTACAGTACCTTGCAAGTCGCGCCCCACCGTCGCCGTCGCCAGATTCAAGCTTTCCAGGGCTGGGAGATACAGATACCCCGAGCTGGGCTGGGTTCGTTGACTGGACTGACCTGTGAATCTGAGGATGAGCTCCGCGATGAGGACAGCCATCGCGGTTCAGGGCCGCCGCATCGAAGTTGCCCACCTGGGATCCTGGATCTCGTTGCGGTTCGGTGGAAGGAAATGCGCGGGCTTTGATCTTGGGCTCCTGCCTCCTGGGGCAGCGGCCGCCGCCAAGCCTCAGGTGGCAAATGGGTGCGCAGCATCGGCGGCAGATGGGTGGGTGCGCAGTAGCTGGCAAGTCCGGCGCTCGTCGGCGGCTATGCGGACTTTTTCGCGGGCGGGCGGGCGGCGTGTGAGGACTGAGGAGCGGCGACTGGGAGAGAAGAGAAGGAACGGGTGTCTGTCTTGGGAAGAAAGAAAGAGTACACGGTTGACTCTGCACTTGCTCTGTGGGCTCAAACTAATGCTGGGCCTTATATTCTCGGGCCCAAAAGGGCACACGCAGGGGAGATGGGACTTGCCACAGAGACCGAGCGATCCGCGTGGCCTCGGACGTCACACACGTCGGTCGCACCAACATCATCTACGCTGCCGGCCGCTTTGCGCACGCATCCCATATACAACACTCGATCTATTTTTGAAACATCTAGATACAATAGTTGCAGCATACCAAAGAATACAGATAAAACACTTCAATCAAACGTGTAAAACACTTACAAAAACATCTAAAAAAAACATTTGAAAACTATTGCAAACATATGCAACATCCAGATGAGACACTTACAACATACATATGAAACACCTAAAAACACTTGAAATATATGCTTGTAACATTCATGTATATACAACATACAGATCTACTTTTATAATATCCAGATAAAATACTTGCAACATTCTTTTGGAACAGATGAAACATTTGGACATACACTAAAAACATACGTGTATAACCATTACAACATGTACAACATCCCGATCTACTTGTACAACATCCGTATAAAAACACTTGAAACATACATATAAAACAACTGAAACACTTGAAACATACATATGAAACATAGGCTTGCAACATATCTGAAAACGCCCGAAAACACTTGAAAAATGTAGCATTGCCAGCGGCCACGGCCTACCTGGTGGGGAACTGCGGCGGCGTAGGGCTCCCCTTCCTGCCGATGACGCGAGGTGGATGGGGGCACAGGCGCAAGCCTCCCTTGCCTCCCCTTCCGCTACGTGCCAGGTGGATGGGGTCGTAGCGATGGATGGTGGTGCGGCGTGGGCGTGCGGAGTAGTGAGGGAAGGGGTCGAGTGCCTCGCGGGAAGGGCAGGCCACGTGGGAGAGACGTCGTAGCAGGCGCTTCATGCTGGGGAGGAAGCGGGAAAGAGAGAGTGCCCTGCTAAGGGACCTTGCGGCGGCGGGGTTGGGCGGAGGTGTGGTGAGGGGCTTGGAGCAGCTGAGGAGGACACCACAGTCCGAGTGGGAAATTTTTCTTTTTTTAGAGGCTAGTCAGCTGCATAGGAGGGAAGGAGCACTGGGAGCCGCGTCGGACGAGATGGATATCCGTGGCCGAGCGTTTTCGAATCATGTCACTATAAGGGTGACTTATCGGGCTTTCTTGGATAAAAAACAATTATTACTTTTTTAATTAAAACAATTACTACTTTTTGAACCTGGTTTGTTATTTTTTTGAAAACGATTTATAGATACGACTCTGTATTCGGTCACTCCTATAAAATCAATTTATAGAGGCGGCTGAAAAAAAGAGTCGCCTCTATAAATCCATTCGTAGAGGCAACTATAGATAAGAGCCACCTCTACAGCCTCTATAGTGGCTTTCTGACCACCTCTATAAACATTTTGTGCAGTAGTGATATTATACCTTAGATGTACGCTAACAGTTACCAATTATATATTTGTGGTGTTTGTAGTGGTCTCAAAAGAATGGGCCTATTGTTGCTTGTTGTTAATTAACACATTCTATATTTCGAACTTTGAAACCCCCGCCCCTAATATAAATTTGTATTGATCTTTTAAATTGGTATATTAAAAGTATCATTTAATTATATTAATAGTTAGTGTAAATATGAAAAGGCAAACAGCACCCGTTTGCTTCAGCAGTTGATATGAGCCCATGCCCCATGCCACACAGGACGCCAGGACCGGTCAAATTCAGTGTCCGTCAATCGTCACACGTGTCTTCCGTGGCAGATGGATCATGGATGTGACGCTGACGAACCCTGCCTACCCGGACCGACCGTCTCACGTGTCACAATCAACTAGAGAATGGTGGAGCTTAGCTGAGGTAGTTATGCTACCATAACCGATTCCCTAACTACCAGCATACGACGCCGATCGATGCAAGCATGCATCACTTTAAATGCAAAGCACTTTTGCAACGACGACGCATCACGCAATTAGCGAGCGACACAGCAACGAACTGCAAGTCTGCATTCTGCAAGCAGAAACACGATCGATCGACTCGTGCTGTGCCGGCCGTCAGGCGCGTGAGAATTGAAGCAGCAGCAGATCGATCGATCATCGATGGGGCTGATGAGCCTGACGACAACGATCAGGCTGCTGTCGGCGGCCGCGCTGGTGACGACAGCGCTGCTGGCGGCGGTGCCGGTGGCGTCGGGGCAGCAGCAGCCGGCGGGGGCGGCGTCGTGCACGGCGTCGCTGCTCACCAGCTTCACCCCGTGCTTCAGCTTCCTGACCAGCAACAGCAGCAACGGGTCTCCGCCGACGCGGGAATGCTGCCGGTCGCTGGCGGCGCTGGTGAACGCCAGCACCGGCTGCGCGTGCCTCGTCCTCACGGGCGCCGTGCCGCTGCCGGCGCTGGGCGTCCCCGTCAACCGCACGCTCGCCGTGTCGCTTCCCAAGGCCTGCGACTCCATGTCCGTCCCGCTGCAGTGCCGAGGTACGTCGTCGTGCGTGCGCGTGACCGTGAGTGAGCTCTAGCGAGTGCAGTTGTTCTGCAGGTGCCCGATGCTAACCCGTTGCTGTGCTGTGCATGCAGACACGTCGTCGGCTCAGAGCCCGGCTCCAAGCCCCGTCGCAGACACACCCTCCACGCCCGCGTCGACGCCGGCGACGCCAGAAGCTCCGGCGCCGCCTACCGTGGACCCCACGGCGACGGCACCGGTGAGCCAGGGGCAGACGAGGCCGATGGTGCTGCCCAGCTCCGCCCGGAGAACAGCAACCAGCGCCCACGTCGCCGCGGCGCCGGCGCTAGTGCTGCTGCTCGCCGTTGCGGCCGCGCTAGTGTGATCGGACCGCACGCGGCGGTGACCTAGCTGCGGATTGAAAGATTCTTTGTTCTGGTGGAGTGGTTTGCATGTGCAGTGGTGCTTGATTGTTTGCCCGAGAGTGTGGTGCACAGATTTGTAGTACTGTAGTACATATATTTGTTTGCGATTAAAGGCTCTAGTATATGTGTAAACTATATATACTGCATTCTTTCAGTTGGATCTAAACAAATATTAGTATGATTTATGACTACATATCTATTAAATAGAAGAATATGCCATATAAACAATAGAAAAATATAAGATTAGAGTTATATAGCACATGTATTAGTGTATTAAAAAATTTCGGAGTTTTCTTTCGGCCACCACCGAAATTACCGAATTTCGTAAAATTCGGCCGAAATTTCGCCGAAATTTTGAACCCTGGTGCATGGAGATTTTGAGCTTGTTAGACAGAGCTTCTCCAGATGAGTCGGAGCCATTTTGATAAAACAGCTTGGCTACTCTATTTTCTACTAAAACGGTTCTTCTTACGAAATATTTGATAGGGCTTTGGAAATGGCTCTTCCTAGGAAACATTTGATCGGGCTCGTAAAAAAAAAGTCAGAGTCAGGGTCGGGGAAGAGCCTTACCCAACAGACTCATTATTTCAGCATAGATAACACTGTGGATAGTTTATTTAAGGGCAGATGAATAGAAGGTAGTAAGGGTACTGTCACAGTGAGAGAGAACGTGAGGCGCGCCACGAGGCCTGAGCCAAGAGCCTAGGACATGGGAAGCGCACCAGCGTCACGGCTCACGTACGACTGAAGAGTCTACAACAAGTGACGAGCGACTAGCCATCGTGGTCACCTTCTTTTCTTTTTTCTTTTTATTACCGAGAGTTCGGCTGTTCTGGTCTTGATTGTTTCTTTCAGCTTATTCTCTCGTACATAATATTATTAAATTATTCAAAATCAGCCGAGCTACAGTAGACACATGTACCAGCCGAACACCCCGAAACTTTGGGAGAGTTTTTCAAAACCTCTATAACCTTTTTCTTCAAAAAGAAAACTCTGTACATATGTACTCCCTCCGCCCAATTTTATTTGCACCTCTGCGGTTTGAATTTTTTCCCATATTATTTGCACTGTTCCAATTTTATTCCCACGTTCGCTTCGCTGAAAAAACAAACAAAAACACTGTTTCGACTGATTTGTTGTGAGAGAAAAATACTATTCCAACTAAAAAAAATTAAAAAATACAGATTATAAAAGAAACGAACAGGGCCTAGCTAGCTAGGGTAGGGTGCCAGGTCTCAGTGGAGCCCTCTCTGGTTTGAATTTTATGTACTCGTTAGTACTATTGAATGCAGCAATGCATCGGTCTCTCGATTAAAAAAATACACGCGCAAACCCTCTCTGGCTCTCTCTCCTCCACTCGTTTCCTCCCGCATCTCCCCATACCCAATCGAAGCTGCGAGCAAAATCCGGATCCAGGAGGGCTGGTTGGCTGGAGCCTGGAGGGGTCGAGCCCCACTTCCGGTGGCCCATGGCCGTCGGCGCGGGAGGCACTCGGTGATAGCGAGGGCGGCGCACTGGGTGATTGCGCGCAATCGGCGACCTGCCGGGCGGTGGCTTGGAGCATGCACCTGGCGGTGGCCCGGCGCAGTAGGCGAGCGCGCGGCGGTGGCCCGGTGTGGAGCTCGAGTGCAAGCGGCAGCGGTCCTGTGCGCATCGAGCGAGCGAAGCGGCGGCGGCCCGGCGTGGAGGTCGAGTGCAAGCAGCAGCAGTCCTGTGCGCATCGAGCGAGCACGGCGGCGGCCTAGCGTGAGCAGTGTGCGAGCACGCGTAGCAATGGCATCACGACGTGTTGCGACGGCGGATCGTTTGGGCTCGAATGAAGCAAGTGCCCAGCGGCATCAACGGGTGGGCGGCGGCGGCCCTGAGCGGTGGGGAACGCTGAGCGGCAGGTGTCTTGCCGTCTGGGATGCTCCAGAAACTTCCGCGGTGAGGTTTTTTATTTTATTGTTTTATTACACAGGAGCGCGTGGGCCACCTGAACACCAGCCGCACACTGCTGCAGATATCACAGTTTTATAGGGGGTATTTCTATCATTTTCCATTGGCATTGGTTTCGTGTCCAACTCTAGAAATGCAACTATTCTTGGACAGAGGGAGTAGGAGTTTTCTAAAAAAGGTACAAAAGAAAATATATCTTTATAGGATTTATGTATATCAGTTAAATACATCATCGGTCTATAAACTCGTCACGTTGTGCCATTTGGGCTCGTGAACTTTTAAAACACATATTGGATCATTAAACTTGTCAAATGGTGCACCTTGGGTTCATGTTACCCATGCCAGCACCTTAATAACTACTCCTTCCGTCTCAAAACAAGTGTTTCTACGGTATTTGTGTCGACCAAACTTTGTTAAGGCCTTGTTTAGATCACCTCCAAATTCCAAGTTTTTTCACTCTCTCTCCGTCACATCAATTTTTAGCCGCTTGCATGGAGCATTAAATATAGTTAAAAAATAACTAATTGCACAGTTTAGTTGGAAATCACGAGATGAATCTTTTGAGCTTAGTTGGTCCACGATTGGACAATATTTACCAAATAAGACGAAAGTGCTACTATTCATCGGGTTGAATTTTTTTGCAATGTAAACATGGCCTAAGTTTGATTAGAACTGTAGAAAATACTAGCGAAATTTGTATCTCTGAATAAGATTATTATAAAAAACAGATTCAAGGAGCTATCTTATAATACTAATCATGTACTATAAATATTAATATTTTCTTGTATATATTTGGTCAAAGTTGAAAGAGTTTGACTTCTCGGGAAACGAGTACGATACTTATTTTAGGGCAGAAGGAGTATGTGGCATGGTGTAGGGTCGAGATAGCGGACTAGAAGGGGTGAATACTCATTTCTAAAATTAATCGCATCGGCTAACCGAAATAAATACAGAATAAAACTATCGGTTTATCCAACACTACACACATCTATCAAAATTCTCAAACACCTTATTAAGATCCTAAATAGACAACAAAGTTATCGGGCTAGCTAGAGCTCACCTAACAATTCTAGCTTGCAAGGTCACACAAACATATACAACTAGTACTCCAAGCAACTGGAGGAGCTTCTACACAACCAGTGATGCAAAGCGCACAAAGCTTCTAAACTCACTAGCAATGCTCAATAACAAGGCTACACAAGCCAAATTAGGAGCGCAAATTACTTAGCTACACAAACTAAACAAAGTGACTAACAAAGTTACTCAAACCAAATTAGCCACACAAGGGAGCTACTCCTATGCTACACAAGCAACAAAGTAACTAGCAAGCTACACAAGCTAACTAAATACAAGAGCAACTACACAAACCCAAATATATATGAAATTATATACAAGCTTGTGTAACGAGGATGCAAACCAACGGGAAGATAAGGATGACATGGCGATTTTCTCCCCGAGGTTCACGTGCTTGCCAACACGCTAGTCCCCATTGTGTCGACCGCTCACTTGGTGGTTCGGCGGCTAATTGGCATCACCTGCCAAGCTTGCACGTCGGGCACCGCAAGAACCTACCCACAAGTGAGGGTAGCTCAATGACACGCTCTACTAGTGTTGCTCTTCGTGGCTCCCGCGGGGTGAGCATGGTACCCCTCACAAATCCTCCTCTGAAGCACCGCACAATCTTCTCGTGTGCTTCAACGGAGTCACAAGCCACCAAGCTGTCTAAGAGGTGGCAACCTCCAAGAGTAACAAGCACCATCGGCTTGCAACTCGATCACCTAGTGCCACTCGATGCAACCTCATGATGCAATCGCACTAGAACCGCTCACTCACTCGATCAAATGTTCACTATCAAGCATAAGTGAGTTGGAGGGCTCCTAAGCACACTTACACAAGTCACCAAGGCTCAAGGGTGCTCAGCAACCAGCCCAAGCCCGAGCTCCACCTCTATTTATAGCCCCTAAGCCAAATAGAGCCGTTGGAGCAAAGCTGCTGGTATCTGCGAGGGCATCGGACACGGCGGTGCCTGACACCGGACACGGCGGTGCTAAAAGATTCTTGTGTGGTTTTGGTAATTGAGTGACAACCCTAGGTAGACTAATTGTGTTTATATGAGATACACAGGTGATTAGTCCACAGGTACATATGTGTGAGCAACATATGCCATGAAGGTGGAAATGGCTCGGAGATGTTGCAAAGCTCACACATATGATGATGAAGGAACTCATTACACATGAGACATGACATTGAGTCATGTGATCAAGGCGGAGAAGATCAAGACATGACTTGGCTTGATGGACCGGTTACAAGCGTGAAAGGCAAGTTGAAGGCTTTGAAGCGATGGACCACGTGGCGGTGAAGCTTGAGCAAGACTTGGCACCGATGGACAAAGGCAACGGTAAAAAGCAAGTGAAGTCGAGATCGATGAACCAATACGGTCACATGATGATATGAAATGGATCATATCATTTGATGATTGGTTGGTGCATGTGTTGCATCAACAAATGGAGGAGTTGGAATGGAATGCGCAAGGCAAAGGTATAACCTAGGGCATTTTATTTCACCGGTCATAGGTGTGTAGAGAAGTTTATGACCAGATTTAGAATAGATGACCGTACTATCAAGAGGGGCAAACTTGTTTGCATATCGGTCATCTAGTGCCACTCGAGTGATCTAACTTTGCATCATCGCTAGGAGCGAGTGGCGTGGCAAGTTGAGTGGCTAATCCTTTAGAAAATGTTTATGAAAAGCTAATACACATATACATGGTGGTGTACACTTGGTGGTGTTGGCACATTTAGAAAGGAGAAGTTGGAGTTGAAACGGATCAACTCGGTGGAGAAACAGAGGCGAAAGGAGGTCACTGTGAGTGACCGGACGCTGGCCTCGGTAGGACCGGAGCGTCCAGTCAGTGACAACAGTGAGCGCGCGGTCTCGGTCTTGTGATCGGACGCTGGCACGAAGAGTGACCGGATGCTTAAGGCCTCTATCCGGTCAGTGCTGACGTACGCTGATGTGGTGG